GACTTTATTCGGCGCCTTCGGTTTCAATCGAGTGCATTTTTGTGAGTGAACTTGCGGTACGCTGTAGTTAAGCAGAGAGTAGATGTGTCTCTGGCTACCGGCGCCAGGAGATTCTAGTCTCGATTTCTCGGGTCCCGAATACTCAGAAAAATGTAAGCTGAGCGTCTGCGCAGATGACACGGCCAACTTGAACGATAGGATCTGTCTTGGCCAATTCGGTAAAACAGTCGAAAACTGGCAGGAGCAGGCAGCGGGATGTAGCCCACACAATGTTCGTCATTTCAACAAACAACAGAACGCAACGATGAACACTCGGTGGATCTATTGGGTAGTAACCTAAAAGGCCAAATCCGAGGAGTCGATCATCGCTTCCGTGTTTTAAGTAGTATTGCGAAATTACTGTGATGCACACACCAAATCTACAAAGGTGTATTTCTACGTTTGAATGAATTTCAGCTGAAAAAGTAAATTGGTCATTGTCCAGTTTGATTGGGCGATGTAGTGAAAGGTCAACGAGCTAACTGCAAGCGGAGTCGATGAAAGGTCAACGAGCTAACTGCAAATCCGCGGAGTCGATCGTCGCTTGATGCTCGCAACGGAAGGTCAGTTGACAACATGGGGAATTCGGAACTCAGGGGCGTAAAGTAAATGCAACTGGAGTGAGGTGATGGCTCGGCGACTCAAATGAGTCTGCCACATTCACCAAACGAATAGCTGCGCAAGATCGGCCCACTCTTGCAGTTGGGCCATTAGATGCAATCTGTCATGCCAGAGTGTATTTACCTGATAGCAACTGAGGTGACCTTTGTGTAGCTCGTTCACTTGAAGCGTATCACGAACAGCTGAATCTCCCGTGAGAACCAGATTGGGACACAGCCTAACTTATTTCGCGAATTTAGTACAAGTGAGGTTTCAGAAGAACATCAGCACACAATGTTCGTCATTTCAACAAACAACAGAACGCAACGATGAACACTCGGTGGATCTATTGGGTAGTAACCTAAAAGGCCAAATCCGAGGAGTCGATCATCGCTTCCGTGTTTTAAGTAGTATTGCGAAATTACTGTGATGCACACACCAAATCTACAAAGGTGTATTTCTACGTTCTCCTGAATTTCAGCTGAAAAAGTAAATTGGTCATTGTCCAGTTTGATTGGGCGATGTAGTGCGGTCACTATTAGGTAGCGACGTAAAAGGCCGTATCCGAGGACTCGATCGTCGCTTGATGCTTGCAAGGGCGTCAATTCACGAATTGGGGAAGTTGGAACTCACTGGCATAATGTATACGCAGTTGGAGCGAGCAAAAGAGGCGACGGATAGTTAACGCGGAATGTCAAATTCAGGTTGTGTGCCTATTATTCACCTCCAGTCAGGCAAAACAAAAATGGCTCATTCATGCAACTGACCGCGTTTGCACAGCCTGACGTTGTTGGCGCTCCCTCAAATGAGTCTGCCACATTCATCAAACGAATAGCTGCTCAAGATCGGCCCACTCTTGCAGTTGGGCTATTAGTTGCCATCGGTCATGCCAGAGTGTATTCACCTCATAGCAACTGAGGTGATTGCGGAAGCCGTGGGATTGCACCTACCGGACGAACCCCGAGAAGGGTAAGGCCGATGGTGTTGTGTGGAAGATGCTTCAGCGAGCTTCTGATTAGGTTTCTTCAATAAATCAAACGACCGCATTTTTTCAGTCTTTTCTTGTCTGAAGTTATAAATAAGTCCAGTGCGCGTGTGACTATTCTCTGACTTTGTATTTTCCATTACGGTAACCTGCCGGAAATGCAAACTCATTTTGGGAACCCCCTAATCCCCATTGCTTGCGACCGTCTCTTTCCTGTCAGGTGCAAACTCAACGACCAATGCAAATCGTTCTACTACAATCGAGAGGAGAAGCGTTGCTACCAAAGTTTGTACGTGGACTCGTTGTTACCAGAGGCCTATCGAATCAAGCCGAATACGTGGGAACGATTTGCGCTTATGCCGATTCCATAATCAAGAGAGTCGAAATCTCGGACTACACTTGTTCTTCTACACTCTCGCGAATGCACCGTTTCCTCGCCACAATTTACAAACCTACTTCACGTACAGTCAGTTCAATTCAACACTGACAAAACACTCTTACCATTAACTAAAAAACTCACCTGAAGAACTCCCTAATGTGTTTAATAAACATACGCGTTGAATGAACTTCTCTCATCTCCATTCATTATAACTCATCATTATATCATCTTTGTTTTTAGTAATAAAATTGCATGGCTATATAGTTGTTGGTGCATTCGTACAAGCCACACAGCAGAATGGATCACCAATGCCACGGTGGTTTCCATCCGTGAATTCAGGGACTGCCGTGGAATTGATGATCGTGTTATTCGCTGAGATTGTCAATTTTGATGTGATCGCTTGAACAACACTCAGAGTAGCTTTATCAGTGCGCTGTTGCGATGTCAGCTAGGTTGGTGACGAAACGTTCGCATCAAATCCGCGAAATATCGCAAGAAACGTCCACTTCGGTGTACTCCTGTCGGTCCGTTCCTGTTCCCCACGCCAAAGTTATTCCAAAGCTCCCTAAAACATAGGCCGCAAATAGTAAGATGGAAGTAACTCTTTCCTATTAAGGTCTAATGGTTTGAAAATGGCAGAGAACTGAGAAGGTGCAGATTGTTTCTCCTGGCTCGGTTTACCTGCAAATCTAACTCAGAATAATCGATAGATCCAAAAACGTGTTCAGCCCCAGTTTCCATTGAACATAGAGCTTCTGATTAGTTGCTTCACAGAGCCCGGGAAAATTCAGTGAGTTTCCTGCAGTGAGTCTCGGCAATGCTCTTGACGGTCCACACATTTTGACTGCCGTCATTTCGGTGACTAGGTGTGCGGTATTTCCACGCTAGCGATTCGTAGATACTATCGACCTGTGTTGGATCCGTTCTTCATTTAGTGTTCATGGACAATGCAACGGTTCGCTTGTGTCAACGTTCCCAAACCACATCTCTGGTCAAGCCTAGTCCGTTTCCTTAAAGCGCCGTTTCGTACTCAACACAGGATGAATCTGGTCGTACGATCACCATTGACAACCAGGAATTCAACCCACCCTCCCTTCCCTCTGGAAAAGCTGCTTCTAGGTAATGTTCCTAAACTTGTATCTAGTATTTTCAGATTTGTCTGAGAGAAACCTGCTCCAGGACTACACCTGGAGGTACCCACACATCAACCGGCTCACTGTGTTTGTATCAAGATAGCTTAGTGTTCCACCATGACCGAGTTATCTGTGAGTATTTGATTGAACGATTTGAGGGTTGGCCACCTAGAAAACTGTCTCAGTGCGGAGTACGTTTTCTGTGAGTTAGAACTCTACGGTCTTGAGCGCATAGGCAGCCAGGGAAAAACGTTTGCACCGCGACATTCTTCCGGTATCCAGATATTTTATTGGGTGTTTTGTCCACGGTTGCCTTTGTGCACTTTCATCAACATATTTATGGTGCATTATGGCTTAAATTTAACCTCTTTCTGACGAACCGAGACGCGTAGTGTGTCACGTCGAAGTGGGCGTGTTTGAATTGAAGTCCCCACAGTGGTAGTTAACAGGGTCATGTATTCAGATGGTCTGGAGACTGACAACAATCGTAACGCACAAAGGAACGGCATTTAGATTGTTGTGCGTAGGTCAGCAAATGCGCCGTGTCAACCGTGGCTAAACCCATTTCGCTTCTCCCGATCATGAAATCTGGTTACGGTCCTAAACCCCAACTCTGGCCGAGCTTAGTCCGTTTCCATAAAGCGCAGTTTCGTACCCTACACAGTATGAAGCTGGTCGTACGATCACCATTGACAGCCAGGAATTCAACCCACCCTTCTTTCCCTCAGGATAGGTTGCTTCTAGCTAATGTTCCTAAACTTATATCTATTATTTTCAGATTCGTGTGAGAGAAACCTGCTCCAGGACTATGTTCAGCCACAGCTGGAGGCACCCACACCTTAACCGGCTTAGTGTGGTTGTTTCAAGATGGCGTAGTGCCCCACTTGTTCTTCTACACTTCTTCGGATGCACCGTTTCCTTAGCACAAAACACGCGCCTACTGCACGTGCAATCAGTTCGCTTCAACAATCACTTAGGTCTGCCGAAAACTCAATAACTCACCTGAACAAACCCCTGATGAGTTGAGTAAACATTTTCCTCAAATGAACTTCATTTTTCTCCATTCATTACAAATCATCATCATTATTACCATCCCTATTGTTAGTACTATAATTGTATGGCAATATAGATGACAACGGATCCATATGAGCGACGTGTATACGGCTGATGGTTTGATCGGGATTGAAAGGTAGGAAATTCATCGCCAATTCGTTTCACTCAAGCCAGGTTGTGTCTAAGTTCCTCAACCTATATCTATCGTCTTCAGATTCGTCTAACCGATTCCTGCTTCAGGATCACGTTCACCCACAGCTCGATTAGTCCAATAACCACCCAGGTAAACGGAGCTCGATTCACAGTACGTTATCTGTGAGTTAGAATTGTCCGGTCTTGAGTGCATGGTCAGCCAGGGAAAAACGTTTGCATCGAGCCATTCTACTGGCACTCAGATATTTTACTGTGTGTTTTGGACTCAAACTAAGCTTCCTGTTGCCCAATCGAATCACGTAGTTTCTCACATCGAAGCGAGTGCCTTTCAACTGAAGTCCTTACGGTGGTAGCGAACAGGGTCCTGTTCCAGGCGGTCTGGGGGTTTGCAACTTGAATGAGAATGCTCAGCTCATAGACGTCCGTTTATAGATTGCGTGTGATGACCTGCAGTCATACCTCATATGTGGATACATTTAAATCGACAGGTACTAATCGGGAGACACGTAGTTTCCCTAGCTGAATGACCAGACAATCAAGGATTGCAAAAAATGAATTTATGTTTAGTGCTTGTTCGTTGATCACGGAAATCGTTAAACCAGTCTGAGTGATAAACGATTTCACAACGCCCACATTACCTGATCAACGGATTTTTAAAGTTTAACCAACACGGTCAATGAGAGCGGGATAATGCACCATCGGGATATCCAGCTTCAACGCGCTCTTGTGCGGGGCTATTACACTGTCGGGGGATATTTCAACAAGTCCTACTCAGCGCATAATCTTTAACTCCTTTTCATACCAACACAAACAGTCGAGGCTATATTGCTTAACGCAAGATAACCTGTCATTCTCGCTCTACGGACGCGTTCCTCAAGCCAATTCCTAGAGAGCTGTTTGAAGCCTCCTACAAGAAGAACGTTCTACTACACCAGTGTGTTGGTACTTGCCGTCTTGGATCGTCAGTGGTTTCGCGCAGTTTAGAGTTTTCGTTAACCTGATGTTCTACTTGAACCCAAATTGGACTGCTTTGAGCAAATACACTCATTTGCAAATCAATTTGGTCTCCACGGGAGATTCAAATGAATCTCTCCTTTATGCTATTCCTCAAGTGAATATGCTGTACAATGGCCGCATGCGGGACTGCGTCTACCTGATGAGCCGCAAGAAGGACGAAACCGGTCGTGAACTGTCGAAGAGTTTTCAGCAAACTTATGAGTAGATTTCTATATGAAAATACGCTATGATATCTCGAATGTCGTACACACTGAAACATGAGGCGGCCTGTGTGCAGCGCATTCAGTTGGGGGATTCACTTGCATCTCTTGTGTAAACCAAGATGATTTGCAACTGAGTGCGGGGTCACTTAAATCGTTTGACACTTGAAGTATAAAGTGTAAGATGGCTGCTTTCTCGATTACACATACTCCATGGCTGTTATCCTCACGCACAAAGGAACGACCTTCCGATTGTTGTTGTGCGTAGGTCAGCAAATGCGACGCGTCCAACGCGGCTGAACCCATTTCGTTTGAGCCCAACATGAACTCTGGTTACAGTCAGATGGCGTTATTGAAATTGCGGCTCGTGAGACGGTATGCACTGATAATTCCCCCATTTCATTTGCTTCTCAGCCCATGCACAATGAGTCTATTTATCAAAATCATTCGTATGCACGCTAGGGACTAGTTCGTCGCACTGAAGGTACCAACTTACATTTTCAGCAATACGCTGTTGTTCGGAACAGATACTAGTGTTTGCGCACCGCGGTCATGTTCTCTACATGAGCTGTGGTGTGCTTCTAGTGGACAGATTACACCTTTGGGACGCAGAAGAATTTAGGCGTTTTAAATGGGTACATCTTTTTCCAATTGGAGTAACAAACCCTTTATTTGTCCCGTTGATTTGCACTCGAGCACGCTGAACTACTGACCT